TTCTTTCTAATTGGTGTTTTCTTTTTTATTTTCAGTAAGAGCTGAATGTACATTCGTAACTTCAAGCTAATTAATTGGCAAACCGATTTTAGCGATGAAGTTTTCATACATACTGCAAACCTTACTCAAAAGAAAAAAAATTCAAGAAGACAAAAATTGATTTTGTCATTTTCTTAGTTAACATCTTGTTTCATATACATCCAACTAGAGAGAAAAAGAAGAATATGCATAAGATTTTTTTTCGAATCGCCAAATCTTGTAGTTTTTTTAAGACAATGAAGTCAAGAAAACCTATTGAGAATGGTAAAAGAGTTAGTTTTCTAATAGTATTTCATTCATTTCTCGATCAAGATTTGTACTCCCTATGCTCACATAAACACTGACCTCGCTATCGCTATACACTATCATTGATATTGATTTCAAAATCGATAAAATTTCATCGAAACAAGTATACTTCAAGTGCTAACAAGACCAATTATTGGCTTACATCTTACATTTCAATCGAAATATTTGATAAGCTATTGATTGCTTGATCACCATTCCGCCTTCGACACAAAAGATTTTCGAGTGATCCCTATTTCTACGGATCAAAACGGTTTTTCTCGCTGTGATGATATACTGATCAATATTCTGAGATATTTACAGGTATTAACAGATTCTGAAAGTCTTTTTCTTTGGGCATGAGTTTTTTTAAAACTGTGTCTAAACACTATTTGTCGAGAGTAATCATAAAAAAAGGATGAAAAAGCATTCATGTTCCTTGGAAACCAGCTGCTTCTCTCCTATGTTGCGTTTCATATGCATTTTTTAATATTTAGCCCCCTGCCAATGTCTTTTATGAAAGAGTTTCTCTTCAAACGTCGTCAGTTATCTTTCGTCATTATTGCAATTAAATATGCGAACGAGAGAAAAATAAAGAAATGCAAAAAAACAAAATTAGAAAAATTGTTTGTCACACATAGTGGAAAGAAATTGAATGACACAAGAAAGTCAAGATAGATGAATATAAGAGGGCTGGCAAAGATCCGAAAAATGTCCCCTTTACCTAAAGTCCGCTAGTGAATAGAAGGACTTTACTAGTCAATCAAAAGAACACCAAACTTATGCCACACTTACTCAGCGGACTTTAGGTGGATTTTACTATCTTCATGTGTCACTTTTTTCTTAACAGAAGGACTTTTCTCTTTTCAATGGATTATAATTGTTTTTCGTTAATGCTGTTAATATAGAGTAATAGTTCAGAGTTTATCTAGTATTTCCCCATATAAAGAAAGTTAGACAAAAAATAGATCAAAATGGATTATGTTTAATTAAAAGTCGATTAAAATTGTACACCTTTATTCAATTATAATCAAAAGTGATAGAAAAGTGACGCTTCTAGATAGTAAAGTCCATCTACACTCTTAAAAAAATCCGTTTTCTCGCAAACCTGAACCCCTTCGGAAACCGTTTCGGAAACCCAAAAAGGTATCCGAAAAGGTTTCTGGACGCTTGTTGAGTTTCCGAAAATACCTGCCGCGTTTTCGAGTCTCCGAAAACCAATCGGTTTTCGAGAATACGGTTGCGGAAACGGTCATCCGTATTCTCGACAACCCTGGGCTATTGTTGAGAATCGAAAGGTTTCCTCGAATACCTATTTCGATTCCCAAATCTTCTCGGAAACCATAGACGTATGCTTGAATACCTTTGCGTTTCCGATATTTTTTTGTCGGAAACCTGTTCGAGTTTTCGGGCGTCGAGATCCGTGAAAACATTTCCCAGAATACTCATATGGTTTCCGAAGTTATCTCAAAAACCTTGTAGGGTTTTCGAACCTTTGGAGAACCTTTGAGTTTCCGAAAAAAAGCTCGGAAACTCATTAATCTTATGAAAAACCCAAATATCAGTCGAATATCTTCTTTTTGACCTTCATGTTTTCACCGTACAATTTTCAGGTTTAACAGTTGCTCGATACGAATGACATGAGTTTTATTTCAAGTGATGCGAAATTGCATCGAAATGTATAATATAAGATAATTTGATCTAGGTTTTTTCAAGGACTTAAACTGACGTTTTTCAAAGCTAACGTCCTCCATAAAGTTTCTGTCTTTGCGAACCAGATAATAAATAAAACTTATTGAATAATTTCAGTACCCACTGTATGTTCATGTTGAAATGGCTCAGATATGGGCTCGCTCATGTCTATCTGTGAGTGTTCGCAGGCATTCATATTTAGTTGGATTTTTCTCAATTTCGAATATATTAAGACAGAATTGACTGTTAAGTGCAATCATGGTATCCCTAGTCGACTCTCCTCAACGAAATCACCGGGGAGTCTCCTGAAAAATGCGAAATTCCTGTGAAATCCTTGTCGTGAGTCCCCGGAGGAGTTGCATATCTTAGAATCCCCCTAAAACTTTCCGGGGAGTCCCCAAATTTTAGGGAGTTCCTCTAAAATTTTCATAAATTTGAATTTTTCAGAGAATTCTAATGGTGGCTTCTGGAGAGACCCTGATAATACTCATCAATTTTCTAGAGAGTCTCTAGGAAGTCTCCGCGAAATCCCTGGGGAGTCCCTGAATCCTCTCTTAACCCCCCTCCCCCAGGGATTCTTCTAGGGAGTCTCGACTAGGGATTCCTAATTTTAAAATCCTACCATGGAATTTTTCAAGTAAAGCTCTACGGAAGCAAGCTTTGAAAACATTCACACCCTTCTGGAAAACTTTTTCTCTAATTCTATTAGTCACATATGATAAGATACATTTTCTATAGATTTATTTTATTGATTCTTCATTTAAATATCAAATTTTTCATTTTTCTAGTGCTACTGGTAGTATTCTTTATTCTTGGGTAACATTTACGCAAAAAACCTCATCAAAAATTGCAAATATCTCTGATCCATCCACTGTGATATCAGAAAAACAAAAAGGTATGCAAAATTTTATTGGAAAAATTACTACGATAAATATGTATCATAAATCTTCTTTTAAATTTAATTGATAAAAAGGAAATAGTACGTGTATGATCAGATGTTAAATGTTTTTTTTTCAAAATTTCGAAACTCGTATCTTATGGAATAATTAATACCATATTTGTCTGTTTATTTATAGTACATTGGTCCGCAATTCAGGTTGAAATCTTGATTTTTTTCAATTCTGGTATTTTTTGATCTTTTCTATTTTTTATATTCAATAAAAGATATTTATTATATGTTGTGGCTATGGCTGTATAGAGACGGCGGTGCGCTGCAATTAACGCTATTCCAAAAAACGACTGCTATTAAGAGATAGAAATAATGACTCATTTTATGTATAAGTGACGCTTATCATATCTTGATTTTTTTGTATCACTGCTATGTATTTCTTATATTTTTCCTGATTAAATATTTACTTATACACAGTAGCTATTATTAGCCAATAGCGATTTAATTAATTGTTTTTAATTGCTGTATTATAATAAAAATGGACGTTGATCCTGACAATGGTGGTGGTAACCATGAAAGAATATCGACTGGAATGATGAGAAAAATGATTGCACATGCTCGTAAATCATGTGATATGCTTATTAACGATGATCCCCTGCTGGAAAAATCTATAAATAACATAAAGAATGTGAAGAATTACGAAGGAATTGACGAAAAAAAAGAAAATGATGATATCAATATAGAAGCAAACGATAGCATTTTATAACTTTTATTAATATACAAATATTTTGAAAACCACTTCTGAACTTTGTGATTAGAATCCTTGATAGACATTTAAAATGTTATTTTTTCTGTATAAATCAATTATTGTCTATATAAAATATATAAATTTGAAAAATTTATGTCACACTTTTTTTTGCACATATTTTGTTTTAATCTTTTTATAACTACGGCTCGAGGATCTGTTACTCATATTATACCATTATATAGTTCATAGTGCTCCCTAGCCAACATATTAGTATGATGATAAAATAATGGAAAATCGTTTCAGGAGAAGTGACTAAACAAAACCTCTCTCAACCTGAATTGCGGACCAAAGTACTATAGATGAATGAAATTCATTGATATTGATCATTCGAATGGGTGATATTACATCAGGACTCTCATCATTATTATTTCGATCTATTTTCTTTTTTAAATGCTTATTAAATCCTAGACATTTTGCTTTTATGTAGTTCTTATTTTTTAGTAAAAATATAATATTTATTGACTAGAAGAATTTTTAAAGATGAATTTATTTAAAAATCTACATTTGAAATGATAATTCATTAATTAGTAAGCTTTTTAAAGAAAATGAAAATAACATTTAAAAGTTAAACATTACATTTATCTTATTGTTGAGCCGATAAGAATTATTCATCAGCAAGTTTCAATTGATACTCGTTCACATTGTTTATAAACTTATTTGATCAGAAAATGTTTCTCCTAATGTTGTTTGTTGAATAACTTTTGATAGAAACAGACTTGTGGTTTTCATGATTCAAGAGAGAAGATGCTTGAGGGGGGGAATCTTGTAGTCCTCGAACAGAACACGAAATGGAAATAGATTTAGAATATCGTTTTTCGAAAATCTTCATTAATTATTTATTCAAAAAAAAGAACATGAAAATTTTTTTTGTTTAAATCATCAATAATATGATGATTAAAGTCTCTTGACTTGTTCTTTGTTATGTTGACTTTCATTATTGTCGAATTGTGGATTGATATAATTAGTAAATCTTTCAAGTGATTGTTCGTTACGTTGAATATTATCATTAAATAATCATTTCGATCGATAAATTCGAATACTAGATGAAAAAATGAAAAGTCATTTGAAATTCTATTCAATATAATTTTACTTAATTAAATTCATTTTTTCAACATCATCTACTGTTTGAGGTAATGGTTGATTTAATGTTTCAGGAAATATTAAAGCAAGTAGACCAGCAATAAGTGATACACTATCATAGAAAATTATTGGAAAATGAATCCATAAACGTGTTTTAAAGAAAATTTTTTTTTTATTATATAAAAATTATCAAAAAAATATATTTGTTTTTCATACTAAATTATCATTAGAATAAGTTCCAATAATAGCACCAATACGTGCAACCATTGAACAAATACCCATACCAGTATTTCGTACGTTTGTTGGAAATAATTCATTTGCATAAATATAAATAATTGGATAAGAGCCTGATGATAAAAATTTTAATGTACCATTTATTATATTCAATAATAATAGTTGACCTAAATTGAATTTTTCAACAAAAACGAAAAAAATCATTCATAATAACAAACTTTTTCCATCTTTTTCCATTAAATATTCGATAGGAAGTATTAATATTGAAACAATACAAAAAAAGAAAAACTCTTTTTACAGAAACTGAGAATAGTGAAAAATTTTGGACCGTTACGGCCGAATGTCCCTTCCAAGGGACATTCTGTATCTCCATAGAAAAAAATAAATTTTCTTTTTTTACTATAATATAATCATACTGATGACTCAGAAGCTCAGTTCTGACGGCTGGTTTTTTCAAATTGTCACGGGAACCCTCTTCGGCTTTTAAGGGTTAATTAAAAAAAGGACTCTTTGGTGTTCTATGTCTTGACGTGCTCTTTCAAACAAAAATAAAATTGAAATATATTGAAGGAGCATGGACAGAGAAATTTGGGTTGCGAGGTCAAGAAAGCATAAACTGAGAAAAAACGAAAAATTTTTTTTGTTTTCTTAAAAATAAACATATTTTTCAAGAAGAGGTTAAGGGAAATCATCGAAAATTTTGGCCAAAAAACAGGTGTCGAAGAGAAAACAATGTCGTTTTTGAAAGAGTAGAAGACGGGCTATCTTTCCATGCATTTATCTCAATTTCGACGATTTTGACAAAAATGGACTTTTTTGAGGGGAGGGGAGCCTTAAGAAATAAAACAAATGTTATTAGATGATTAAAATCAACAATTACGAAAGATTTAGTTTTTTGTATGAAAAAATCATTTAGTAGAAATTTCAGACTGACCAAATCTATAAATTCAATTTGTTTTCATATAGTTGCCAACACTAAATTTACCTGAAAAAGACCAATCATTATTAAGTATGGACGAATGGATTCTTCTTTCAAATTTAATTCCTTCATATGATGAACATAATGCTTTAGAAATTGCTCAAAATAATATGAAAGAATTAGATAGTTTATATCCGAAATTACGTTTTAAAATTGATTCAAATAAAGTATTTGAAGTTCTTACGAGTTTTTATCAAATATCAGAACCATTTATTCGATGAAATCATGATTTTGCTGCATTATCCATTCATGATCGTTCGATTGTAGTACATGGTGCTATTGATAATATTAATTGTTTTGGTGGACCTTTTATAATGCATCAATCTGGATTAATTACAAATTCAGCTTTTTGTAACGTTATTGAAAACATATTTGGATCTGTTCCATTTAATCTGACTTTGACGGTGATTTCATTAATTGATCAAGATATTAATCTCGCTAAATTAACATTATCATTATTTACTTTTTGCACGAGCAATTGCACTTTATTTAATGAAAATACTCCATTTATATATTTAAGAAATCAACGATCATTATTATCTATACAAAATACCTATGTAGAATCAATAAAGAAATATCTACTTTATTATTCCTTCACGGATAATTATCGTTCAGAGAATTCTAATCTATTTTTCAGATTATACCGAATCAGCTGAATTATTGGAATACATAAGCCTCACAATTCATAAACATAGTCAGCAAAGAACATAGAATATAATAAAGCAAGGCTATATAAATACAAATATGAACAATAAAATTGCAAAATTAATTTGCAGCTATCATGAACATGGTTAGAATTAGATCTGCAGAAACAAAAACTCTGATGATAAATTTCTTTTTTTCATCATTGACATAATCACGACATGTGTTAGATGTTCGCTGCACAAAATAAAATGTGCACACAGCTCGATCAACATATAGACTTAGCATACATAAAAATTGAGACAAGAATAAACCGAACATTCATTGTTTTGAGTGTCGAAACACGCTACGGCAGAAAATATTGACCTGTCACATGTACAGATTTGCTGTCTTGTATTATCTGGTACGCAAAAGACCTTACCTTTGTATTGCTTATTCTCGCATTTTATCACGAATCATTTGTGTCTCATAGAATATATTAATCCTTTACTCAACTCTTTTCTTAGACTAACTGATAAGGACTTGCAACTGGAGCGGTTTGTTTTTTTTGCTTGCTCATTCTTAAGAAAGAGTGAAATGGTATTTAGTAAACAGAAACAACGTCGATATTCCTAATTAAAAAAAAGAAACTTAGAACTACTTAAATTGCATTGTCTGTTTCTAACGTTACTTCTTTTCCATTATGGCGCCTCTAAACTGTTAGACTCGTGTTCATTTTCTATTCTGTAGGTCAACAGTCTATTGACGATTATTATTCATTCGTCAAGCTTGAACATGCATGCTCTTTATTTTCTCACTCTATATATATAGCCGTCATTTCATTTGGTCTGTGATATCACAATACTTTTCGTGTATGTACACTCGTATAAAGGATAGCATGGACTCTTAATGCACTCTTCATATTTGTTATTCTACTAGAGAAATAATAAAAACTTTATCTTAACTGCACCTATATATTATAAAAACAGGTACTTGTTTTTCTCTCGAAAGATAATAATTTGACGAGATTGAATTAAAACATAATATGGTCGTTGATCACTAGTTTTTTTAGATTTCTGAACATAAAATGGCAAACAACAATTACACATATGAATACATAAATGAAGAATCCATTAATTGTGAATTAATATGCAATATTTGTTATAAACCATTTGCTGAACCAATTTCTACTCCATGTAATCATAAATTTTGTCATCATTGCATCAAACAATGGATTGACATGAAAAAAACATCATGTCCGATATGTCGTTGTCAAATAAAATCCATTAATCAATGTATACAAGTTAGTCCTCATTTACAAAATCTTCTTGATCAACTTCCAATTAAATGCTTTGTATGTGGTGATTTACAATTAAAACGAATTGATTTTAATGATCATATTAATAAAGCCTGTCCAAAAATTAATGTTTTATGCTCAGCTGCTGACATCAAATGTCCATGGATAGGAACACGTGAAGAACTTGAAAAACATATTTCAACATGCAAATTCGCACCATTAAGGTCAATACTTGCTCAAATGATTTCTGAAAATGAACAATTGAATATTAAATATGAACAATTGAATATTCAAAATGAACAACTTTATATTCAAAAGCAACAGCTTTATATTAAAAAGCAACAGCTTTATATTCAAAAGCAACAACGTGGTCTAATTAAAGAACAAATTATGAAGAATAACTGACGCTAAGTAAATTGAAAATAAATAAGATTAGCGTCATTTGTAACAAAAGAAGTTTAAACTTATCATTTAATTCACTACTTTTGTTTTCTTTTTTTTTGTTTAACTTGTTAATTTTCGTGTAAATTTAGAAATAGATACCTAATTTATAATTATTTTCCACAATGTTGTATATGATAAATACTAAATTATCAAAACAAAGTTAGCCTCCACATATAACCGAATGTTTAAGAACAGAACGAATACTCATGTAAAAATAAAATCAGATTAAAAATCGATTAAAATGAGACGATTTTAATCTAATTTTATTCAGATTTTTCAGCCTTAAAAGACAGATTTTATTTGACTTAATCTGATTTTTAATAATTTTTTTTACATGGGTAGTATTGATAGCTGTTGACGATGATCTTCTAGACGCACTATGTAGCTCAATATAATGTTCAGAGATTTTATTTTATTGCAGATGTTAAATAGCGAAAAAGATGAGATTTCTTCCGGAGAACATGGGTCAAAAGTGATCTTATGAAAATTCATCTGTCGAGCTTTATTTTAGGAAACATTTTGCTCGTTAGTTTTCAGTTGTGGATATTTTGATTGAAATATCTCTCCTCGCAACATGTTTGATGATACCGACATCGATCAGCCACTCTCGACCAAATATGACGAAGTAATTCAATGATAACCAACGAGAATATTTTTCGACAGTAATTGGTTTCAACGAAATCACCTTGATCCAATTAGTGTCATTTACCTGAAAAACAATCTGGCTTTTGCTCGGCTGTTTTGTAGTAGATTTCAACAAAACAAAAGGAATAAAAACATTTGAGCAATGAAATTCGACCGTTTTCAACAGGATTGGTTTTTCTATCTAAAAAAAGGAAACAATGTTGAAGTCTTATATTTAAACCATTTCATAGTAAATAAAACTTCGTCACCTAACAGAATTTTTTATGAAAATCGATCAAGAGAGTAGCCTTACAATAATAACTATTCATCTTCAGGAGCCTTATAATGTATTTCAATAGATTTAACTTGTATCGAGAGATTCGATGGAGCGAACTGAACAGAGTTGCCCGATGCTAAAGCCGAAAATCAGAAAAATTCCGGAGTTTTGTTTCTGAAATCAAAAAAAATCCGGAAAGGTTTTTGAGAGTCTGTTTTAATCGCAGAAGGTAGGTCTTTCCCGATCAAATTATCAATAATGTTACTCTTTATCTTCACAAATACACTTTAATGAAACAAAAAAAAACATCAAAATATAATTAACTCATCGAATTATAACTTGTAAATTATACAGTGGCTATTAATTAACACGTTGTTTTTAGCACAATATTTTTCAATAGAAGAAATAACTTTCAGTAGTTCTGGTTTTTATTTAAAAAAGTCATAAACTTCTGTATACGGTAAAAATCAGTTAAAATGAATTTCTGATTCAGCTGCAATGAGTTCTGTGGGGATACGACTTCGTTTATCATCACATAAATGTTTTATTGTCGAAAAAACACTTTCGACATATGTAGTAGTACATGGAATCGAGAATAAAAAAGAAATAAATTGGGATAGATTAGGCGAAAGTATAGATTCAACAGATAAAAGTATGGGCCACAAATGATAGAAAAAACTATATGCAAGAACAAAGAAAAACCAACTGGTCTTTTAGGTAGATTAACAGAAGAAAACGCTAAAGTTCTACCGAATCATGAATAGCTACTTTAGAATGTTAATAAACAAGTTGAAATATAAAGGGAATATATAGTATCCAAAATTCGGAAAAAATCCTGAAACAGGAAAGATTCCGGAAAAATGTGTAAAATCCGGAATTTTCTCGGATTTTTCGGAAGATCTGGCAACACTGGAACTCAATGGTCATATTTGGCTTGTTAATGGTTATGTTGACACTTCTGTCTTGTGCTTGGTTTGTTAAATCGGACCAAGTGGTTTATCGATAGATTATGGTGATCATACTATATATTATTAAGAACTTCTAGCAGACTCTTGTACGTTATTATACTTTCTTCATGGTTGATGCTCCAAACTTTAAACCATAGCATATTGCCAGGTGATACAACTAAATTATTACCAAATGAAGCAGAGACGGGATAAAATGACGTTTTTTGATTGATAATTAACCTTTTTTAAGCGAAAGAGCACTTCGGTTTTGATTTCGTCGAAGCTTAAAATGACTTTTCGAATGCGTCGAACAGTTCAGTTGTGTTCAATTTGTTGACGACATAATGATCATGTATTCTGTACCTATAGTACATGCTGGCAAAATTTGCTTATGCACTAGACTACATTTTGAAATACTGTCTTCGGATTCATTTATACTAATTGGCATCAATAACAAAACGCAACTAGCCTCCAAAGTAGAATCGGATGAATTATATCGAAATCTATAAAAAGAAAAGAATCGTACAAACAAGATACACTTAACTATACATTTGATAAAATCCTTGTTACTTGAACCATCTATGACGATGATGTAGTTTATATTAATTTTGAATTACCTCGGTGATATATGAATGTTCACGCCTAGTTCACGCTTTCTGTTTAATCGATTGAATATCCGAGCGTATTTCAACGTATTTTTGCGCATATACGGATCGACACAAAAAGATTTATTTGATCATTGAGGATACAAGTTGGGTACGTGCAACAAGTTGCAAGCCTGAAAATTATTTTGAATCCAAATGAAATTGGATTATAAAAAAGAACATATTGGCCAGCAAAATAATATTAAATTTATTTAGAAAATCGTTTCAATTTCTTTTTACGTAATATCCGTGCACAAATTGAAAGTTGTATCTGGTGACTTCCCTACTTTCACTTTGCCCATTGTAGTGAGCGATCTTAGATCGTAGAGACATTCTCCTCTCTCAAAGTAGCCTAGATCTTGCAATGAGCAAAACTACCATCATGTCTTTATAAATGAATAAGAAAAATTAACCTGGATGGTTTTCTTTTTAAATCGATCAAAGATTCGTTTATCAACAACATCGTATTTATAAGTCAAATATTCAGCGAATGTTGTTTTCCTGTATCAATATGACCGAGAATAACACTTTGATATGAGATTTTTCCTGTTTATTGTCACGAACCTCTCAAGTATGCACCAGTCCAGTCCGATTGGGTGTCACTAATAGGGTAGGCAGCAACTGGCTCTAAGATGAATGTTAATTAGTATTCCTAGGACAGGAATCAATAGGTATTAGTGAAAGAAAACTAGATTTGTACCCAGTCGACGAGCCAGTATTGGAACAGTGACATACTTAGAACCTCTTAATAACATAAAAATTAGATAAATAAAAATAATCACCACAGTGTGAAGCGGTAGTGACGGCGGCATGAGCGAATTCAGTCCATCCGAAACTTAGGTGAGGCCATTCTGAAAAGCTTTTAGGCCTTATATTTTTACGACACTTTTTCCTCTTTAAACGACCGTAAAATTTGTGGGTGAGCCCAATCCATCCCGATGACAACAGTGTTATGATTTGCTGATTCTTTGAAAAAGCTGAGATCTTTTGACGTTCATACAAGTCTAGGTCATGAAATTCTTCAAAGTTTGAGCCCTTATTGACATTTATATTCTGTCATCAAATGAACTAATATGTCGTATTCGCAGCAGTGTCAAAGATCGAAAAAATGTCCACTTTATGAAAGGTCCCATAGCTATATGTAGGACCTTACATATCTCACGAAATAGCATATATATATATATATATAAATAGCTAAAGGAAAGGAAAAACATGAATAAGCTATAAGCGGATCTTTCCTTTCTCCAGCGGACTTTTCTGCTCTGTAAAGGACTTTTCCGTTCACTTCAACTGATTCATTCACATACATATAGCAGAGCTCCAAAGAAATACAAACCAAAAGGATGAGTTATATATATGCATATATATATAAAGGGCAAAAATAGACTTATTCGTTTTGTCGAACTTTTCTTTTCTATGTTTTTTTCTCTGTACATGATTTATTCTTAGATGTGAATAGAAAATAAGTTTGAAATAGCTTGAGCCAAAAGGACAAATATGTTATATATATCATTGTATATGTAGATGTAGACGCCGATATCCGAATTGAATGAAGACTTGTATATATTTTCTGTGTATGTAAATAAACATTCTTTCTTACTATGAAAAAAACTTTCACATGTAATACTATTAAAAAATATAGCCCACATATAAAAAGTCATTTGAAAAAGCTATTGTGCATATTTCATTTCTATTCAACCTATCATAAGTTTTTATCAAACAATCGTCGAAAGTTAAAGGGCGACGATTCAAAGAAAGTATTCCTACTTATTAGCTACCTTTCTTTCGTATAGGGAAATTCACTATTTATATTAATCCTTATACATATTTCATAGAGTAACTATAAAAAACATACCTATTGATTATTCCTCATCAGATTTTACCCTGCTTTCTAGTGTCATACATGAAAAACATAATTAGATATTTTCCCTTCATTATAGAACTGTTATAAAGTTCTACATGTGTCATATTCAATATAAATTTTTTTTTCGAGACTATAGGAGTCTTCCTTTATCTTTGCTTTTTAAAGTTTTTATATTTATAAAATAAAGATTAAAGGATTGAAAAAATCTTGATACATTAAAAATAAATAATAGTATAATCGTTATTTTTTGAAAATAAACGTAAATAATATCTTTAGATTTACAAAGTGAAGAAAACATAAAGATAAATGGAAGAGTTTTTTGTAAGAGTGAAATAGGAAAAAATTTAAGTTCTGACAATAGGATATATCAAACCTGATCCTGAACATCACATTTGCATGTGATATGATAAGAAAATCAAGTAGACATATAAAACACAACATATGCGAAACATTTTGATATACATATGTCCTGCCGAACTTACATACTTTTTTTCCGCAGTTAAACTTCGGCAATAAAGTTTGTCGCAGTTATTTTGCGATATTTAATTTAATATCTTTTATAAATAAAGTGAATATCAACACGTTGGAGCATACACTGAAACTAATCCTCTCAGTTGAACTATATTTAATTTATAGTTACATTTATAAATATTTCATAATAATAATTCAGAAACATTTGTTAATCCATAGTTTTGGTATATTTGTGAATCACAGTTTAGTTATATTTGTAAATCATAGTTTAGTCATATTTGTAATTCATAGTTTAGGTATATTTTTAATCCATAGTTTAGAAACACTCATTATTTGTAATTTAGAAATATTTATTTTACTACATTATTCGTCCATTTACACCGTTCTTTTACATCTGTCGATATCATTCATGATCCATTATCTCATTAGTTGAATTATACTTATCTTTCATTTTGGATTTCATAATTAGTTTTACTACTGAAGCTTAATTTTATAGAATATACTGAGCAATAGAACGTGACAATCATCAGGATATCGATTTGTGTGTATGCTGTCTTTATTTCGATACTGACGAACATTTGAAGTTTTCGAAATGAGTACGAAACTCAACGGGGAAGTAAATAAAATGGCTTATTTATAAATATTTATAAATATAACTATAGATATAGTTCATTTGAGAGGAATATTTTCAATGTATGCTTCAACATGTTGATATTTATTTTACCGTTAAAAGATATTTAATTAAGTATCGGAAAATAACTTCAACAAAAATTTCTTATCGAAGTTAAACTTCGGCACGACATATGTATCATTTCAGCAATGACAAAGATCGGAAAAATTTCCACTTTACGAAAAGTCCGTCAGCTATCTAAGGGACTTTTCTCATCGAATAGTATTTAAAATACAGTGGACGTCAAAAGTCTCGCACTACTTTTTTGTTTTGGTTGGCATTTCAAAAATACACGACATAGATTTCAATTTGTTTTACCTTCAGATAGCGGAGCTCGAGTACTATATGTATGCATATTTTTGAAATGAATAACTCTTGAATCGAAAACATACGAAGAAAAACAAACTTCAGTACTACAACAAAAACTATCCAAAATAAGACAAAATGGTATGATTGTTATGATTTTGAATAAGATTCTAGTAATGCGAAAATCAAATAATTTTTTGTTTGATATTTCTACATGGATAGATAGATCTTGATGAGCTCTACAAAACTGTCTATATTAAAATTTTTAGAATTCTCTTCTGAGACAAAAAAGATTACAAAATGATTGCATACTTCATTTATTCCATATGAAAAGTCAAGAATCTTTTTTATACTATAAAAGGGTAAAAATCACAATTTTATTACAAATTTTAGTCTCAGAAAATGGTTGTGAAAAATTTAAATACTGACAGTTTTGTAGAGCTCGTCGAGATCGATCGATTCACGTAAGAATATCAAACAAAGTCTTACTCTACTTTCGTATTACTTCAACTTTAGTGAAACTTCTATAACTCATAACAATCATACCATTTTGTGTTTTTTTTGGATAGTTTTTGTTGTAGTACTGACGTTTGTTTTTCTTCGTATGTTTTCGATTCAAGAGTTATTCATTTCAAAAATATACATACATATAGTACTTGAGCATCGCTATCCGAAGGTTAAAAGAAATTTAAAGTTATGTCGTGTATTTTTGAAATGCCAACCAAAACAAAAAAGTGGTGCGAGACTTTTGACGCCCACTGTATATAATACGTTACAGGAAAGGAAAAAATATATATCACTTCAGCGGATATTTCGTTCCTCCAGCGGACATTTCTAATCACTGAAAGGCTTTTTCATTCTTTCCTTTGACCGAAAACACAGCACACATACACGCTGATGACTTACGAATTTTTTTCGTATATGTAATGTGTTATTGCATAAGATTCTCTTCAACGTATTTTACCATACTTATTATTTTTTTTCTTTTCTGATCTTGTATCTGTTTAAACATGCACCTTTGAAATACATAGAATCACTCTAAATCTGATACTGGAGAATATTTTTGGTTTATCTAAAGTACTAGCGGATATTTATTTTCTTTTCCGAACTTTTCTATCAGTATTGGTATCTTTCTTTTTCTTTTATTTTTCCAATTTCGCAGGTAGCCATCAAATACACATGATGACTACGATAAGAGGAACTACGTAAATTTCTCGTTTATCTTATATCCTATTACATATTCGCTTCTTCAGCGTAGTTTTCTATAAATAGGATTATTTTGTTCTCATTTCATTAGCACTATTGAGAATCGTGCCAACACGTTTTCAGAAATATAAACCATATCCTTCTCAATATTTTTCGTTTATCAAAAGGCCTAACGGACATTTGCTTCTTCAGTAGACTTTTCCATACTTATTATATTTTTCGTTTTTTCTCTTTCACCTATTAAAATGTATAGCTACAACACACATTTGATAGCTACAAATAGGAACCTTACAAATATTTCTCATATATCTAGTCTACTAGTGAACACTACTTTCTGAAGATGAAATCTATAACTACACTTTTTCTTTTTCCTTCATTCTCCGTATTTCAATATGCAGCCACGCGACTTATACCATGACTAATGAACCGCATTATGCCTACAAGCAGTCCTACTCGACATGAACAGTCCCCTTGCAATACTAGACATATATCTAACCATAAAAAGAAAAGTTGTTCAACACATAGAAAAGTCCCATAGTTAGTCTGAAAAGTCAAATGAAAGGTCCGCTGTTGAAAGTGAAAGGTCCGCTTGAAATATTAGAAATATATCTAACCATAACAAGAAAAGTCCTTCAACATATAGAAAAGTCTCATAGTCAGTATGAAAAGTCCAATGAAAGGTCCGCTGTGGAAAGTGAAAAGTTTATTGGGTTGAGTGTGAATAGGTCAGGTCGTTTCGTGCGATAAGAAAGCTCCTGCGTTGTCTTTAGGGACCTTTTGTAAAGTGGGCATTATTCGGATCTTTGCCAGCCCTCCACCTTACCCACACCCATCCACACCCTCAATGAGGAGGAATTGCAGCAAATCGACACAATAAATTAACAGTTGCGAATTTCCACACTTATTCATGACTTCTTCAATTTGATTGAATATTCGGAGGGACAGATCTCCTTCAAATTTCCTTTCTGTAGCTGAAATCCATTGATTAAAGACTCGAACAAAGCCCAGTACGCCTTCAAACTAAATGATTACGACAGGAATCATAAATGGTATTACAGTGCTTAACTGAAACATGGCTAAAGTTTGGAAATTTCTCTCGAAGACTGCTATTGATTTGTCTCTATCAATATTCTCAAGTTGACTTTACATATGTGTGTCTATCCTAAATGTATTTGTTTGTACAATTATTAAATGCATATTTCACGTTGATTTGAAGCATCTTTCAATATTGATCATCTTGCCATGAGTGAGTTAATGCATTCATTCAGCAGTGGTGCAATCAAGCGAATTTTGCCAGAGGAAAATGTTACATTGATGGGTGTAGATGTGGGCATCCCTGTGAGTGTGAATGAAAGAAATTATATGCCTACCCCAAATCCACAGTCCATGCAAAAGCATTGAACTCTTTTCACAGTGTATTGTCAAGGGAGAATCAATGGTTCCTAACAACGACAAGAGCAGACAAAGTGAACAAGACGCTCAGTGGTATTCGTAGATAAGGAATATAAATAGTAAATGCCATATGCACTACTATTTTCGTGTTTCAAATTAGACGAATGATCTAAGAATACATCTTATCTTTGTACTGCTTGCGGAATTTCAAATCATATTTATATAAAGGAGAAGAATCATTTTCCGCGACTAGTCATGAGGTTTCTTTTGTGTTCATTAAGTTATCAACTCAATACGATCCTATAGTAGTAATTCATTTTTCTCAATAATAATCACTGTAATTGTGACAGTTCAAATTATACTTGTATATGGTGTGTACTGATTAGTTTTTATTTATTTTTATTTATTACATCAAGGATGATAGTATTTAGCTCGGTGATAATCGCTTTGATCATGACAATTTGAACCGTATTTACATGGTGTGCGCTGAATAGTTCGCATTTCTTGTCTATTATCATCATGAGAATGGTAATATTTTGCTCGATGATATTCGCTGTGATCATGGCAGTCAGAACCATATTTACATGGTGTGCGTTGGTTAGTTTGCATGTCTTGTTTTTTTTCACCTTGAGGATGAGAATATTTTGCGCGATGATATTCGCTTTGATCATGACAATCAGAACCATATTTACATGGTGTCCGTTGGTTAGTTTGTATATCTTGTTTCTCATCATCCTGAGCATGAGAATATTTTGTTCGATGATAATCACTATAATCATGACAAGCTGAACCATATCTGCATGGTGTGCGATGATCACTCTGCATTTGTCCACTCTTTCGTGAACGATCAGAAGATGTAAAAGATTGTTTTTCACGTTCATGACGTTTTTTACTAGATGGAATTTCCCAGTTTTTTGCTTTTTGAAGAATACGTTTGGCCTGCTCGATGGTTACACTCTCTTCTTCTTGCAAGCTATAGTCCATTGCAGCCACATTTGTATTTGACGTTGGCTCCGTCTTTTTGTATTTGCTTTGTATATCAGCCATATCGATGCACTTCGCATAGCATTCTTCAGCCTCTTTCGATGGCACTCCAGCTTCATTTTTCATTCGATTAACTTGCATTTTCTTAGAGATAAAAACATTTTGAAGTCGTTTGGCTGTCTCTTGTTCGTCGACCCCATCAGACGTTGCTTTTTGTATAACATTAATAATGTCTTTCCGAGAACTATTCATGAGGCGATCCAATGATATTTCTTCACGTACTCCAGCAATAATCATTTGAGCCAAAAGATTAGCATTCACCATTGGAACGTATTGCCCACCGGTGATGTGTGCCAGTGCCATAAAAAACTCACGATACGGTACTAGCGTTGAATAAGTAAATGAACAATTTTTAACATGTGAAAAAAGAGAAAATTAACTTTTTGGGATTTTCGTCATTTCTTACTAAAAATTTAGGAATACCACTTAAGTTAAACGAATAATTATACGGATCTAGGGAACATAAGATCTACCTATAAAGCAAGTGCTCTTCATAAGTATTGTAAGAGTACTTGATAACATTTTCAGAGAGTCAACCATTCATCAAACGAGCAAAATATAGCCAAGAACATAATGAAACACTTGGAAAGTATTATCCTATCGCAAAAGCCACCAAGGCATGTGCTTTGGCTGAATGCGTATTCGATAGTCTGTTACTCAAATTATCTTTCCAACCATAAGTTATCTTTGCAATGAGCCATTTTGCTGACAACAAGTGTGCACATAGACCGGATATGGGACAAAAAAAATCAGCAAACATATCCATCCATGCTTTTCTCGAATTCAACTAGATCGCTTGGTTCGAACTTCTATTATGCTTGGTTGAATACCTTTTTGAAATAGTTATAAAACGATATCGATTCAATGATTTCACAGGACCGACTTGTATGGCACCTGATATCTAAATGTTTTTGAAAAACTAAGAAAAACACTAACCTAGCTTTCTACTTTGTCCAAAATCTCGCGTATTCAAAGTTTGAAGTCGTACTTTAATATCTAATTGTACTGAGCGTGGAGAACGAAGTGGATCAATCTCTTCGAAAGTATTCCTAAATGCTTAGAGCCTTAGAAGTCAATTTCGGAACATATTTTTTATTCTTCGAGGAAACTCATGCATAGAATTTACGTTAGTAAAGCTTAATGCATTTGTGATGGTTTTATCATGCTCTTCTGACATTCTAATTGAAATTATCGTCGTTCGAAAACGATTGATTTGTTTTCCTGTTTAGAATCTATGAAAATTTATTTTTCATAATCAGTTTTGGATGATCTAAGAGAACACTATAGTTTTTACCGAGCTCAACCAGAATTACTTGGATGACGGTCTATTAGTCTCGAAATGTTGCATAGTTTGAACGATTTTTCAAACAAAAACCTTTAGTAGAAAACTGAAAATCAGTATTGTCATAAACGACTCAACAAAATCGATGACACTATCGTAAAATGTCGATATAAAATGTACACTAGCAATTTGAATTATCACCTTTGTAAAATCCTGTCGATGAAAGAAAGGTTGGTGATGAAAAAACTATAGCAGTCACGATTAAATGCTCTTAAATACTAGTTGATTACTTCAGAAGAGGTTTGCTTTGCTCAGTTGTTGAAACTTAGTACAATTAGATCTTAAAGTACGAGTCTAAACTTTGAAGGTTCAAATTTTTTGAACACAGTAGAAAAGCTAAGTAAGTTTTTTCGAAGTTTTCCGAATAGATTCATGTATGAGATGTAATGCTGATCGAATATGTGAAATTATTGAATCGATATCATTTCATGACTATTTCAAAGAGACATTCAACAAGTATAATAGAAGTTCGAAAAGGCCAATCCAGTTGGATCCTGGCAGAGCATAGATGAGTTTGTTTGTTGATATTTTGTTTCATATTTAGCCTATGCACACAAGCTGTTAACAAAATGGTTCATTGAAAATGTAGTTTATGCTTGCAAAAAAAATCTGAGTGACAGAATATCGAATGTTCTCTTAGCCAAGGCACATGTTTCTGCAACTTTTTCGATAGGATAACACTGTCCAAAAGTCTCATTATGTCCGTAGTTTACGTTTTGCTCGTTTGGTAAGTGATCAACTATTTGACAATGTAATGAAGGTAACTCGTGTTTTGTAAATAATTGTTTACATGTGGACTTTCTGCTCTAATGCAACACTAAATGATTTTGTATTTAAAAATTCCTAATGCCTTAAATTGTCTTTTCATGCGGTCCGTCCCTTTTATAAGGATTGAGATAGTGAATAATGCCACTGAAAAGGCTTGCAAAATGAAAAAGAAATTCAGAAATTCCAAAAAACTATATTATGCCATTCAAATTAAACTGCTTCGAAGATCAGTACTGCGTCAAAGCTCGAAGAGAGAACTTACCAATCGGTGGTTCAACGCCCACTACGTAAAGTGTTATACTTTTCTCAGCCATTTCTCGAGCGATTTTAAGTGGGTCAAAACCAAGAGGACATCCATCAGGAAAACTGTCACTACATTGTTTAAGGCCGTGAGGAGGTGCATCTGAAATGAGAACGCAAATTTTGGTAGCTTCGGAACGCCAGGAAAGTTTTAAAATATCATGAAGTGCATCAGCTACTGCCTCAGGTTCGTCACCACCACCAACGGCACTGCATTTTTCTAACCATTCTTTCATTTCATGGACTTTATCAGTGAAATTGTGCACCCGTGTTATAAAAGTAGCATCCTAAAAATTAAAATTTTGACACAGTCGTACTTGTGTAAATTGATAGCACACACTAACTTGTGGTGGATGATCTCGGTACTCTACTAGTGCTAGCCGAATATTTGTCATTTCTTTTGATACGATTTCGTCGACAATCGAACGAATGTTGTCAGTAGCACTTTTAATGTATGAGCCCATCGAGCCAGTGCAGTCCATAGCGAATCCAAGGTCTGTACGAATTTCAAAAGTTGAACCTAATTTATACAATCATCTCTGTAATACTTACCGAGAATCGATGAGCTACGATTACTGGCCATTGTCTAGTGATGTGTATGGTTGTGTTTAATCTAAAATAAGCAAAGCACAAAAAAACTAAATTATTTTTATGTGTGTAATAAGTTTTTATGCCGTCATATGTATATTTTTACAGGGTAAAATGTATTTTAGACGTATTTCTGCGACATTCGAATGCAACTAATTACCGCATCGAACATGACTGGATGCGTCCTTACACCAGACTATTCTTGTTTAGTCAAAAACTGTGCATTTCGCTATCTTCCAACCGGAGCTAGAGGAAAGTCGTCAGACTTCTCTCGTGAAACCCGATTAGAACCCGCGGGCGAAGAATTCCACCCAAACGTAAAGAACTCGATACAAATGCCGCCGAAATAAGCCGGAGTCTGTGAGTTTCGTGACTGGCATGGCGGACTAAAGACGAGTGTGGTGCAAAAAAATGTGCAATTGTGTTCTCAGTGCAATGAATTTCGTAATTACAATAAAACGTAAGCCGCATCTAAATAGAGCATGGTTTAAATGCATCGTAGCAATTTTTATACCATCTAAAAACAAAGACTCTGCTTTCCCCAAGATCAACCATTCACGCCATCTAAACGATTATAGTCACTCACCCCTATCTATAACGAACTGATAGAAGCATTTCTTTATTAAAACTACTTGTATTAGTCCTGCAGTCATTGTAATCAGAGGCAAAATTATATATTACTTAGAGGATGTCCGTGTGTTAGGATGACGCTGTAAGTGTATGACTTTGATTATGAATGTTGTTCTGTATGTGTCTATATCTTTTTCTTCATCCACAAAATACGTCGACGCTCACATGCACGCCCAAACTTATACCCACGCTATTGGTAGAATTGGAGTAGTGATAGGACAGCTAATATGGGAACCCTCATTGTATTGTTGGTAAAGGGGGGCCGGTAGTACTGGTACTATTCGAGTGCTAATAGTATTGGGTACGCTTGAGTGAGTGGAATTACTCCGTTTTCGCCGAATTTCTTTTTTGTCGACACCATATTTTGCCGACTCTAATATCACGAATGCATTTACGACTGAAAACTATCGATTAAACATGATCGATTCTATATTTAGCATTTTATCATAATTAACTAGTTTATTACCATCTGAGTTGGTCACCATCTAACGAGGGAACCTTTTCAGGTGCCTTCCTCTAATTTCAATGATTTTTTGCTTATAGATACTGTTCACTGCTCTAGTAAAAGCTTTGAAAGAGTTTAGATTCCTATCGCTTCCTTCAAAATTAATGAACATTTTCGTTTCGCCTCTATAGTGCATAACATACAATGTGGTCTATAAATAGCACTATGATAAAAAAATGAAAAATCTCCGCATCAGTTGAATCAAATGCAATGGTTTTTCGATTATTGGTAAAAGTTTATTCAAAGCTTTTTTTCACACGAATCAGGTAAACAAATATCACTATTAAGCATTATTGTTGATATCATGAAAGCAATTTTACATGTTATCAAGTAAAAAAAACATGTTTAGCGTTTCATAAGTTTGAATTGGCATCTAAGAGAGTAAGAAGAACAAGTCAAAAACGAACTTTATTAATGATTCTTTACTGATGTGCACAAAGCAAGTTTTCAAAACTAATTAGTTTAAAAGGCAACAGTAACAAAATATCGAAATTTCAAACATAGAGTACAAGTTTTTGAAACAGAGTTGGTGTTTTGATACTCCGAGGGCTGCAATTATGTGCTTTACTTATAGGATACGAACTTCAGTGTTAAAACTAACTAGCTTTGAAAATTCTCTTTATGTACATCAATAAAAAAAATCACTGATGAAGTTCGTTTTTGACTTGTTCTTCTTACTTTCTTAGATGACAACTCACAATTATCTATGAAACACTAAACATATGTTTTTCTTTACTTGATAACAGGTAACATTACTATATTGACATCAACAATAATCCTTAATGGTGATATTCGTTTACCTGATTCGTATGAAAAAGCTCTGACTAAACTTCTACCAATAACCGAAAAACCAGTGCATTTGACTGTACTGATGCAGAGATTTTTTGCATTTTTTATCAAAGTGCTATTTATAGTTCATATTGTATGTTATGCATTAATAGAGGCGAAACAAAATGTTCATAAATTTTGAAAGAAGTGATAGGAATCTAAACTCTTTCGAAGCTTCTACTAGAGCAGTGAACAGTATCTATAAGCAAAAAAATCATTGAAATTGTAGGAAAGCACCTGAAAAGGTTTCTTCGTTAGATGGTGACCAACTCAGATGATAATAAACGAATTAATCATAATAAAATGCTAAATATACAATGGATCAAGTTGAATTCGATAGCTTTCAATTATAAATTCATTCGATGAAGTTAGAATCGACAAAATTGGATATTACCAGTGAGTACTCCGTCAATCACAGACACCCAACCTTGCCGACATCCACTCACCTTCATCACCCATCAAACTCATCCACGGATTCTAACCCACAAATCCACCAGTCAAAATCCGCCTTTAAAGGATCGTTGGACAGTTCCGACCAAAATACAAAGCAGAATGAGTCTCTAAGAAACTTTATCAAAGACTTCCATGGTTCACTCATCGATAACATTGTTAAAATCGATGAGTTGGTTATCTTCATTTGAAAGCACAATTGTTAATATATTAATATGTTTTCATGGAAAATAAGCAACATGCAAATGAAGAAGTGACTCCTATTTTGTTTGAGCTTTGTGCTCGTAACGGCGCACACTAACCTCATACGATAAGAGATAAGAACATACTCTAGGCTGCTGCTGAAGAGTGGGAAAGAATGAAATAATATTGCGTCGACACGTAACTCTGTTTGGTTGCAATCAAAGGAAACATTTCTTATTTGGTAATAAACAATGATCATGCACGTCACAGAAACTGGGTTCCGACACTACAGTTTATCCTTTAAGGCAAATAAGAAAGTAAAAGAGACGTACATATGGAAGTTAAGTTGAGATGTTATGTGGTTCTGATATATACGTACGGCTATATCTCTAAACAAGCAAGACAGAAGTTCGGCGGTGGATGTGCTTTCTCTCTTCGTCTACAACCATCTACAGTCACCCATATTTTACACGCCATTAGCATACGAACATATCTATATAAAGATTTCAGCTCGACCATACCTAATATTTTAAAGCAACCGAGATCATAATTTGAGTAATTTTTATTCCCTGTGGTTCCCATATTTCATAGAAAAAAAGCTTTGTACAAGCTTAACGCTAGCTCAACTATTACAGCACTACGTGAGGTACATGTTTCTGGGCACAATCGAAATTTAGAGCTAAATGAAACTTAGACAGAATTTGCTTTTAATTAGGCGCATAAATGCGAAATAATTTTCTTTTACTTATAAATAAATTCTAATGTTCGCTTATATTAAGCAAACAAAGCATGTACTTGCTTTTTTTTGACTAAAAAGAATATTCATTTTCCACTTACTCATATTATAATGTATTCATCAATGACTTCTAGTGCGTCAACATCGAAAAATGATTTTCTACCGTATGGTTATGAAGAGGGAAATCAAGATTTAAAATCTTTGGAGTATCTAATTCTAAGAGAAAATATTTATGATTCTATTCTATAGGATACGCAAACTAAAAAATCCTTCTTTTTTTTGGTTGAAATATAACTTAACCACATACTATATCATACTTTCTACATTATCTGTGAACCAAGTGACATATAGAGACAAAGAACCATCGATACAAAACACTTAAAAAGCATGAGTTTAAAGAACTATTTGGTTTTTCATTAGAGCTTGTTAAGACAAACCCGATTCCAATTGTATAGACTCACGATCTCTGAAACATCTTAGATTTAACTAGACTTCAATTAAAGTTGAATACAATATAAGTATACAAGATCAATTCTTTATTCTTATTCTTTTTTGAATTTTTCATTCCTTAAATCTTTATGATATTCTGCTTAATTCTCCGTAATCTCGGCTTAGCAAGACACACATTTGACCTGAAATTTCAAAAACTTATCACTAAGCTATCATGAAGAAACTCCAAGAATGGAAAGGACTGTCATGATGGAAACTTAAATCACTATTTAAATAATTGTACTTGCAGTTGTATTTTAGATAACCTACTATCTTTTCGAAGTCATGAAAATTTAAAAATAATCAAATTTTGGGCTTGCGAATGGCCAAAACATCTCCTGGGAGAGTTATGTTTTTTTCCAGCAATAATAAGTCATTTTTAAAGGACAATGTCTACTACTACGTAGATAGGCTGGCTTTATTCATAGTTTGGACATTGACATATTTCTGACTGCAAGAGAGTGGGTGTGAACAGTAGAACAAGTGTTGTGGATTATCCATCAAATAATATTGTCTTCGAAATTTACATGAAAGTTTTCACTGCCGAGCTCAAGGTGTAGAATATAATTCAGCCCAATGTTTTGTTTCTTCAAAGGAAGAGCTGAAATATTTTTAAAAGAGCATCAAACAACGCTCTAAACAAACTGACTTTTTGTTAGATCCATATTTTCACCATGAAAATATTTCATTCTATGTTATGAATATTTTGCACGACGCTTGTTGTGATAAGGGCTTGGTATTGTTTCATCAAGGCTATTGTGACTGAATTGCAAATAGTCAGAATCACACATATGAGCTTTTCTTTCTCTGCCATCAAGTTAGTCGTC